AACAGTGATTCTGTTCAGTGACTCATGGCTTCAATAAAGTAATCCCTTTCTCTAAGTGTGTACTCCGTTGAATTGCTGTGGGACCTGACAGTGAGACCGGGGACCAGTACCTGGATAAATGCGTGATTTCAATTATACCCTAAAAGTTCAGTTTTTTCAACTTGAGACATCTGTTTAAGTTCACCAGCACGGACTGTTACAATGATACTCTGTTCCTTGTATTTGAAAATAATATACTCCTTGTCCAGGTGGAATTTTTAAATTAATTCCCATAGAGCCAAAAGGAAGTATGTTGCTCTGCTGTTGAGTATCTAGTAAACTCTATGACAACTGATGTTCATCAATTAAGAGATGTAAAAATCTTGAACAAAAGACCTTTCCACCTCATACTATGTAATGATAGTCACTGTTTTCAGCCATGGGATGTTTGGCTGACCAATATTAACCCAAATGTATTAAATTGCCTATTTATTATTGCATTTTATCTCACCCATCTTCCAAGGGGCTCACTGAGATGAACTTGGTTCTAGCCAGTTTGGTATAATGGTTGAGAGCAATGGACTCTAATCTGGAGAACCTGGTTTGATTCCCCACTCCTCCACATGCAGCTGCTGGGTGACCTTTGGTCAGTCACAGTTCTCTCAGAGCTCTCAGCCTCACCTACCTCACAGGGTGTCTGTTGTGGGGAGAGGAAGGGAAGGAGATTGTAAGCTGTTCTGAGACTCCGCCTGAAGGGTGGGGTATAAATCCAATATTCCCTATCCTCCTGCACAGGGGATTTCAGCACACCCTCAGGTGGGGCAACAGCTAGGGCCCAGGGCTTCTGGTAGGGCCCACTACAGCCAACCTCTACAACATGCCATTTCCCTGCTTGTGAGTCTTTCACCACCTGTGTATCCAGCTGCACACACTGCCCAGTGCCATCAGGGAAAGGGCTACAGGCAGTGGCAGATGGCTATGAGCAGCAAGAGTAGAGTTGCCAGGTCCCACCGGCCACTGGAGGGGGATGGGGGTGTAGGGTTCCCAGATCCAGGTTGGGAAACTCCTGGAGATTTGGGGGTGGAGCCTGGAGAGGTCAGGGAGCTCAGTGGAGTACAATGCCACAGAGTCCACCCTCCAAAGCACCTATTTTTCTCTAGGGGGAGTTGATCTCTGTAGTCTGGAGATGAGCTGTAATTCTGAGGGGATCCCCAGGTCCCACCTGGAGGTTGGCATCCCTAAGTGGGAGGGCTTGTGAGCATGGCAAGCAGGGATGCACGGGCAGGTAGTGACTGGGGGTGGGAAGAAGGCCCTTGTGAACTCGCTGCCCAGGGCCCTCCAAAATCTGGAACTGGGCCTGCTCGGAGACTCTGTGGGTTTTAACACAGCAAGGCACATTGTGTGCTCCAGCAACACTCCGTAAACTCTGATCACACATTTTGACTTTTGTTCATTTTTTTTACTCAAACACGGTTTTCGCTTTTCCCTTATTTGCTTTTTTGGCATGAATCTCATTTCTGTTATAAAGCTTCCTGTTTACGTTTCATGTAAATACCTATCTTGTCTGTTTTGAACTCCTGCCTTTGTTTCAAGTTTTACATTCTAGGTATAAATAAACCATTAGCATTCGTTCAGTTAACTCCAACCATATGGGGATGTAGAACAACGTATTATCTTCATTGTTTGTAGTGCAACAGTTAAAAAAAACATTCCAAACCCCGTATTTATTGTTTTCCATGCATATTTATGTCCCTCGACTTTGGACTGCTGTTAATACCTGGTGTCTTGCCCTGACTTTATTTTCCCCTCATGACTGCTCTTGAGCTCAGTTATTGTCTTCTTGAGGTTATGAAAACAAGTTTGCTTTTGCTTTGCTTCAGGATTTCTCCGTCAGCCTTTTAGGGTATTTATTTATTTCAGGGCTCTTTTTGTAGAAAAAGCCCAGCAGGAACTCATTAGCATAATAGGCCACACGCAACATCAGGAACTCATTAGCATATTGGGCCACACCCCTGACCGCACAGCTTATTAGCACATTAGGCCGCACCCCCATGTTACCAGAGGTGTGGTTATCCAGCCACACCCACCCTTTGCTTGTTATTCTGTTTACCTTGTTTGTTGTCAAAACCCCAGGGCTTTTTTGTAGCAGGGACTCCTTTGCATGTTAGGCCACACACTCCTAATGTAGCCAATCCTAATGAGTTTCTGCTGTTGGGTGTGGCCTATTATGCTAATGAGTTCCTGCTGGGCGTGGCCAACTTGGGAGCCAGCCGGAACTCCGTTCCTGTGTGTTCCTGCCCAAAAATAGCCCTGATTTATTTATTTATTATATTTATACCCCCCCATCCTGCGAGCAGGCTCAGGGCGGTTAACAAAGCGGTACAATGTACCTGATTGGCATAACCATAAAAATTATTCAAACTACATAAACATTATTAAAACTACATAAAACACATTGTATATTATTACAATGTTCCTTTCAATATCTGTATGTTGTACAAATCTTCCGTATTGTTGTTGGTTGTTTTTCTTTTTGATTATGTACTTTCGAAATCTTTTAAAATCCATTGAATTTTTATCCCACTTTTCCTTCATTCAGCTTAAGATGGCTTCGGTGGTTCTCCATTCTTCCATATTATCCTCACAACAACCCTATGAGGTAGTATAGGATAAGAGTGAGTGTCTAGCCAGCAAACCACATCTGTCCCCTGAAAATGGTATTTGAGTCGGGTTCTCCTAAATCCTAGTCTGACATTCTAACCACTACTTATTTTAAAACTGTGCTAGAAACATGCATTTAAGAGCCTTGTGTCAATTTGTTTTCAGATGCTTTTATATCAAGTTGTATTGGGCTAATAATATTAGTACCCAATACTTAATGTTGAATACTTGTTGCTTTTCCTTTGTCGGTGAGTTTAGTTTGTATATTACCATTTTCAGGGGGCAGTATGACTCTTTAAATACAATCCTTTCCTCCAACTTTAACTGGATTTATCCTATTTTCTAAATAGTTGAATGCTCTTTTACTTAAATGCAGGTATGGCTATCGCTCCCCCCCCTCCAAAGTTGTCCAGACACTGGAAACCTTGTGCTGGAATATGTTGTTAGTCTGCCGGTTCCCCAGTACTCCTGTTTTATTTTGCTCCTACTGACTAACATGGTTACCCATCTGGAATCTTCTTACAAAATTCCTTTCTGCACTCAGACACATCTGTCATTTAATTCCACCCTTCTGTCAAAGAACTCAGAGAAGCTGAAGATCCAAGGTCATCTAGGAAGTTTTATGACTGAGAATCTGATCCTGGCTGTCCCTCCCTCTACCCTGACAAGTACTTAATTGCATTCATATTCTTAATTTAGCCTCAGATGAAGAAACCTGACCTTGAGATGGGGCAGGGGAAAATGTGATCGAAAACTAAACAAACTTTTATCTCCGACAAAGTGCATCATACTGCATGTATTCATCGGCATTAGGCCAATGGCCCTCTGGTGTTTCATGCCTTCCATTTGTAGTTTGTAAATGGCCGTGTATACACCAAAGGTACGGTTGTCAGCAGTGTTCCCTCTAAGCTGAGTTAATGTGAGCCAGCTCATGGCTTTTTAGCCTCCGGCTCACACGTTTTTGTCTTAGCTCAGGAAGGATGGCTCCAGAGCAAACTAATTTACGCAGCAGCCAAATTGCTCGCTCACAGCTTTAATGCCAGTAGCTCACCAAGTAGAATTTTTGCTTGCAGGACTCCACAGCTTGGAGGGAGCATTGGTTGTCAGTCTCTGGGTGGTGGTTGGAGATCACCCAGAACTACAACTGATCTCCAGGCAACAGAAATCAGTTCCCCTGGAGGAAATGGCAGCCTTGGAGGGTAGATTGTATGGAATCCTATCCCTACTGTGCTCTGCCTCCTTCCCAAATCCCACCTTCCCGGGCCTCACCTCCAAATCTCCAAGAATTTCCCAAGCCAGAGTTGGCAATCCTAAGCAATTTTTATCTCCATTTCCATTAAACCAGGTAGTGAAATTAGTACATACTGCATAACTGTCAAAATTATATTTTCTTAGGATTTTCGGTGCTCTAATACTTACTTACTCCAAATCGTAAACCAAGATGGTGTTCTAAGATGTTATATATCTGAACAACAGCAGCAGTGTACGTCCCCACAACCCTGTCATCCCCTAGGGATGTCCCGCTCCCTCCGATGATACCCGCACCAACGGTGGTGGTGTGCGGTGGTGGGAAGGTGTTAATGGAATAGTGGTGGCGGCAGCTCCTACTCGAAAGCCTGGCGGAAGAGCTCCATCTTACAGGCCCTGCGGAACTGCGCAAGGTCCCGCAGGGCCCAGATCTCCTCCGGGAGCTCATTCCACCAAATAGGAGCCACCACCGCGAAGGCCCTGGCCCTGGTCGTAGCAAGTTTGATGGTCTTGGGGCCTGGAATATCCAGGAGATTTTGGCTCCCCGACAGTAGTTGTTCAAACCAACCGTCATTTTCCACTGCCACTATCTCCCAACTAGCCAGGCCTGCCTCCCCCAGTCCACTGTCAGGAGGACTTTTAGTTGTTTCTAGAGTGGGGTGGTTTTTTTGGAGGAGGGTGGCTTTTCAGGTTTGTAAATATGCAGAGCCTATATGGATAGTTTTCCAATGGTCTATCAAGTTATGGGGCATGTGACAATATTGAAGTTCCACTGATCCCCCCAATCTCCGCTCTGGGATTCTTTTAAGTTCTTGTGGGCACACCACAAATCCATCAGCCTTGCATGTCTCTGTCAGCCTGCAACTATGCCCATCCCTCAGCAATTTTATTATGCAGTGAACATAAATCAGAGGATCCGGTTAGGAGCCAGGCTGATGTGGCACTCTCCTCTGATGGCTGTCTAGTAAGAGCAGTGTTTTCCTTCACCATGTTTAGCTAAGAGTATGGCTTGTTTTGAGGGGGGAGTTGGATAAACTTAAAGATGCTCTTCTGAGTTCCTTGAACAAAAGATGAGATACAATGGTGAGGAATGAATTAACAGAAAGTTTGCGTTTCAAATCCTTTATTTCTCTTCTGGATACATAAGACAATTACACTGGAGGGACCGACACTGGAAAACAGATTCATGCATGACACAGTGTGGCAGATACACCCCCGGCAACTGCCTGAATATGGTTGATGACCTTCCAGGGGCCTTGTAACTTTGTCCATTTGTCCTTAATTCCTATGCCCTCCGGGCCAACCCAAGCAACATCTATGAGCATTACCCTTTAGCTGAGAATGCAGCGAAAGTGTCTAGATCTGTAATATGGTTTAAATGTCCTTCACCCATGAAATCTTGGGAACTGTAGTACTGCAAGATCACTCAGAGAATCCTTAAACACTCCTAAAACTTGTTGGCAGAAAGCTAACTAGTTGATGTCTGTAATACAGATGTGACCACAAAACCCGCTTTGAAGACAGCACATGCTCGGAGTGCTGGGAAAGTGCTAGCTAAGGTTCAGCAATGGCATTCCAATCACAGAGGCAGGGGGATTAGAACCCAACCTGGAAACAGATCCAGCCAGATTGGCTGTCAAGGCAAGAAGCAATTTACTGAGTTTTGTTTTGGCCGGAGGGAGGCATGAGTGGCTCAAAAGTCCCAGGAATAAGGCATTAACTCCACCCAAGAGGGAGCAAAATACACACAGCAAAGTGTGTGCGGGGAGGTGAAATTTGACCTGCACCTGCAGCGTTCATACCTTTAACTAACCTGGGCCATTCCAATGTTTTGCTGACCTGAACTGGGCCGCCTGCCCCTTAAACTACTGGCAGGGCAGGGGTTGTTAGGCATTGCCCACAGAAGACTGGTCACTGCACAGCCATTCCCACAAGTCCCTACTGGGCAAGCTGCTCTCCTGCTATGCCACCCAGAGAGCGAGGACAGGCATGCTTGTCAGACTATGATGCCATCCCATTTCCAAGCACTGAAGCCTGGCCTTGCTGCGGCCCAGAATTCTTTGACTAGGGCACACAGGAGACGGTGCGGAATGAGGGAACCGGGGAGCTATGTCATCCTAGGCCTGTCTGTGGCTTTGCTTCTGCAACCATTCCCACTCCCCTTGGCTAGCTTAATTCAGGAGAATGTAGGGGAGGAAGACCCCCATGCAAAAGGCTCTCAGTGCTGTTCAGGGCAAGGGTGGTGGGGGCACAGGGAAGAGAAGGTAAAGCAGGCCCCGATTGGCTCCATTGGTTTTCTCCTGGAAGGAAAGCAGCCAACCCTGACCAGTGGTGACTGGCTACTCCTGGGGGAGGTGTCAACTTGGCACTGCAAGCTCAATTATTCACTAATCAACTGAGAGGCACTGTTAACCATGGGGCAGCAAAACTACATCCTCCACCCAACCAGGCCATCTGCTTACGACTCCGCCTTCAATTTGTCACCGATGAACAGACAAGCAGGGAGAAGAGCTGCTCCTTTTGGGAGTTGGGAGGGGGGCACAGCATCAACATTCCAGTTGCCCCTCCTCCCTAACACCACGTTGGAGAAAACAGCAGAAACAAAGGAGATTGAACATGATTGATATCAGGACTGTAAAAGTGGGCTGTGGAACCTGTCAGCTGTCGGGTAGTCTTCAGGCTGGCTGGAAAAGGGAGCCAGGGTGGCCGTAGAAGAGCAGTCATCAGCCTGGGCTCCCTCCAGCCCCTCCTTAGTGCAAACAAGGGACACCCGCACGGCACCTTTGACCTGCCACCCACTGCTACATTGCAGTCAAAGATATTTAATTCCCTAAGTTTCCTTGTGGTGGGAAGGAAGAAATCATCTCCCTCCCACTGAGACCTCTATACCCATTGCCACAGGCAGGCAAGGCTGGTCCCTGACAATTCTAAATAATATTATTTTCACTCTACAAGGCTGTACACTTAAAAAAATCTTGCCAGCTCCACAGAATCTGAGGCTGCCTTTGAGGAATGGGAAACCATTTCCCCCATCCTGGGCCATGGGAGGGTCTTCCTGCCCAAGCTGTGCTCTCTGCCCCAAATGTCTCCATCTTGGCCTCAGGGCCCCTGTAGAGGTGACTGACTAGCAATGGCAGAGGAAGGGGAACAGCAGCCATGCTTTATGAGAAGTGGATGAGGACACACAGGCATATGAGGCGCAAGGAGGTAGTGCAAATCCAAGCTTTCCCAGTGGCACCCCTTGTCCCCAAACCCATGCAAGGGTAGAGGAAGGTGCGGGATCTGTGATGGGAAAGGCTGCTGTGTTCTCCAGAGCTCTATCTTGGCATCTAGCCACTGTGGAAGAGGCGTATGCGCTGCACGATCTCCTTGCGGCAGAGCGGGCAGATCTGTAAGGCTTCAGAGCAGGTCTGACAACAGCAGACGTGGCCGCAGTTCAGGAAGACCATTTGGGCCTGGAGAAGAGAGAGAGAGAGAGAGGGAGTCCTCAGCCAGCTGTTAAACCAAGACTTTTCTCATCGAGCCAGTCCCTCCCTCTGACACACACACCCCCAGCTGGAGTAACAGTATTCTTATGGACAGAGAAAGGATGCACATTTTACTTAAAGGTCAGGGGAAACCAGAACCGGAAGCAGAAAATATATTAGAGGCTACTGCAAGCCCGTAGCCACCAGGGAAGAGGGCGGCTTTGGGGGGCAGTGTTTCCCTTAGATGGCCCCCAGCCCTCCCTGGGAGGAAGCCAGACCCCCCCCCTCTCCTCCCCACCTCCCTGCCTGCTGTGGCCTCGCCAGCCCAGGAAGGTATTTAAAGAGACATATGCATGCCACTGCTGCTTCCTCCCCGTCCTTTTACCAGCTGCAGGGCTCGGAGCAGGTTGCCATTGAGGGACCAGTCTCTTTAAGTGCCAGTGACGTAGGCAGCAATGTGCCCCCCCCATGAAAATTTCTTGGCTACGGGCCTGGGCTACTGTACAACTCAGCATGGCATCTGCTACAGAACTGGGATTCCTCAGAATCTCAGCACTGAAATCTCATTCTTGGTTTGTGACAAGAGCGGGAGAGACGCTCAGGAGGACTTTCTGTGACCCTGAGCTGGGGAAGCAGTGTGCCACGTATAAACTTGAGCAGGTCCCCTGTAGTGACCCTGTTTCTGTCTGGCACCTGGCACCCACATGCCCCAGGAGGCCCTACCTCTTGCTCCATACAGACCACACAC